CGCTGCGCATCGCCGCGGGTCAGGTCCCGTCCCTGGGGCTCTGCCGCGCCGCCCGGGAGCCGGGACACGCAGAGCCGCAGACACCCCCTCTTTCCCCCCGCACAGTCCCTCTCCTCTGGCGGGCCCTGGGAGATCGCCGCGTCCTGAGCTGGTCCCGTACGTGTGTCAAGCCCAGATGGCATTGTGTCAAAACGCCCGGGGTTGGTTTTGATCGGGTATGTTAGGAGATTAAATACAGGCGTTGGAACGCAGCATTATCAGTATTTCACAGTGACAGGAAATGTGCTTTCCGCCTTACAGTGCAGCTAGGGAGACGTTAGCCCAGCGTCACAGAGATTCTCATTTCAGACCTGATGCAGCAAACAGGAAGGACAGAGCTTCCTGCACAAAGGTTCGGCTACACCCAAACTTGTACGGAAATAACTAAATCTGTTTTAATTCACACATTTTGTTATGGAGTAAGTGTCCTATTTTGGTCCAGTTTTAGCAAAATCAAAATAGGTGAAGTCACTTAATCTCTATTTTGCTTTCCTCTTCTGCACAATGGGAGTACTCTTTGAGCTGTGGTCAAGTGAAAAATTCTCTAATTTATTTCAGCCAGCTGTGAGAATTAGGGTGTCTAACTTCAAAAACCATGCCTGAGTTAATATTTGAATTCTGCGTTGGTTATGTAAAGCATACTAAGTGCAGAGCAGACTGTTCTGACTGCATCTTACCTAATATAGGGCTGAGACAATGGTATTTTTGACATGGAGAAGAAAACCCTAGGATCTGGATAGACCACAACATAATGTTCTTTTTTTTTTAATCAATACTTTAACCTTGGATTGAGTATCATCCTTATTACTGGTCTTAGAAAAAGAGCTCTGTACCTCCAGAACAGATGAGTGGCTTAAAATGTGGAGTGTCACTTGTCAATACAGAGATTTTACCTTCATATCTGCTGAGCCCCATGTATCAGAAAACAGGATACGTATTTATTTATTAAGCTACATTAACCCCTGCTTTTCCAGAATTAATTTGGAGGTAGGTACAGGTATCTCTGTGAGTCTGTCAGTGTGCATTGGGAGGATGGATATGTGAGGAATGTCACACTGTCATGCCCAGGAGAAAAATTTAATGTGATGGAAGTTACAAGGAGGGTTTACCAGGATTCAACAAGGCATAGATAGGAATAATTTCCCAAGGGTTCATGTACATTAGAGGGTCACAAGATGTTGGATTTAAGTTAAAATGTCCAGCAATGTGTTCTGTTGTAAATGTTGGTACTGGAGGGGCTGCTGCTGTTGCTTCTCCAGTGCCAGTAGGGCTGCCTTGCCGCACTGTCTTTGATTTGTGCTTGTTTCTCTGTTCTGCATATAGCATACATGTCACAAGGCAAGCTTGGAGTGTTGATCACAGGCAGTGCTGCATGGAGTATCATGCAGAGCTAAGGTCACTTAGGGGTGCACGCTGCTGCATTTAGACGAGTAATTCTGTGAGGCCACAGGATGGAAGACAGACTTTCAATCTGGCTTAAACTACTTCTGTTTGTTTTTTAAAAATTACCTCTGTTTTTTGCTAAGGAAATTTTCTTCTGTTAACGTTAGAATACTGGCGTGTTTTTTGACTGCTATCCAAATGGGTGTCAGAGAAATTCTGTCCCTGCAGTTATCTAAGCGTAACTTTTCTGAGCTGTTGGCAGCTAATAGGCTTGTGCACCAAAGAGGCTTGTTGTAACTCTCTACTATCCAAACAAGGTCATGCTGTATTAGTTACATATTTTTTACATAGTACTTGGAGGCTACTGTGACTTCCTAGAAGTTCCTTGGAAATGTTATATAACTGGAGTGTGGGATCAGCTGCTATTAGATAACAACAGCACGGGATGGATCTCTTACACATAACAGTGCTGTCTGTCTTTGATTAACCTCCAAAAACAGAGTAGAATTTAAAAACACAAATAGCTCAAATCCATTGAAAATCAACTAAGGTTTCTTGACCAATGCAGAGTGAACATGGGGGAGAAAGTCACATTGGAACTATACTGCAGACAGGGACAAGACCTGCATTTTACCTATTGTTCGTTGCAAATTTTTGAGGAGACTGGTACTTATTGGTTTAGCTACATGTGTAACAAAAGAGGTATTCTGCTGTGACCCACTGAAAATTGACCTCTCACACAAGCTTTTATATATGAAAAATGATTTTTTAAAATACAGATCAAGGCCACACAGTCCTTGGCTGAATGACTGACAGATTCCCTTACTGCTGAGATCATCAATATTCTGTAAAAGAAATAAATTAGATTCTAAACCACTCCCAGAATCCACTCTCCTTAAGTCAGAGTGTTACTCCGGCAAATAATTCTATGAAGGATTTAGTTTGATGGCTCTCTTTTTGGGGGGATCATATTGGAAGTCTTGTGTTGACATAATTGCATTGGACTTTCAAAACACCACTTCCTAACTATTGTTTTGCTTCCAGGAAGCAAAACAAAACAAAAAAATCCCTTGCACTTATGTAACCTTGTCTATATTTAGCTCTTGTTTTTTTTAGATACCCATCAACTACTAAGAAAGAATGGCTGGCAATTGAGAACATTTCAGTTGCAGCTGACAAGACAGATGATAGAGGATTAAAAAGATAACCTAACTTTTACAGTCAACTTTTACACAGTTTATAATAAGCACCCAGAAAAAAATTGACTTCACGGCTTTATATATCACATTAGGGGCACAGGGTGACATAAGGGATTAGTAATGAGGCACAGACCCTTTCATCTTTAGCTCAGTGGTTCAAATATAGATTAATTATGTCATTATTATCCAGTGACTTTTGGTGGCCTACTTGAAATTAGTGTCGTGATCTCAGACTAGTTCCAGTGAACACATCACAAACACTACCATCCCACCTGTCACTAACTGGCATCCTTGTTCACCATTTTACTTCTATAGGGGGAACATGAACAAATCTGGTGTGGCTCCTGGAGAAAAATAGAGCAGCTAAGAGATGCTTTAAAAAATATGGGCTCATTCTTGGGGTGCCTGTGGGTAGTTTCACAACCAACAGCAGCTGAGAATCTTCATAGCAGTTTATGCTTCCCTCCTATCCCCCTTTATTCCTGGCATACCTCATATTCTGGGTCTTGTGAGAAGGCTTGCACAGGGCAGCCTATGACTAAGTCTTTCAAAGAGGTCATGGAAGTTGCAGATTCTGTGACTTTCCAGGACCTCTGTGATTTCTGCAGCAGCCGGTGCGGCTGACTCCATGGTCGCCTGAGCAGCCGGGTCGGCCCGGAGCCAGCCGAACCGGCCGCTGCTCGGGCAGCCCCAGGCAGCTGGTCCTGGGCTCTGCCCTGTAGTAGTAGTCCAGGAGCAGCAGCAGTCTGAGAGTAACAGTGGCGGGGCCTCAGGCCGCCCCCCACCCAGAGCAGCTGCAGTGGGGGGCACCCCTCCAGAGAAGAAGCATACCTGGGAGCGCCCCCTCCCCAGCACCTAAGATTTAGTTAGGGGTATTTTTAGTAAAAGTCATAGACAGGTCAGGGGCCCTGACTTTTTGTTTACTACCTGTGACCTGTCCATGACTTTTACTAAAAATACTTGTGACTAAATCTTAGCCTTACCTATGACTGGTATGCAGTGCCTGAACCATAGGAATTCTCCCCAGGCTGGCTAAGGGTTTCTTATATCCCCTGTACACCATAATCATACACCTGAATAAAACATTCTGTAGACATGCGCCATTCCATCTGTTAGTTTTTAGTTATTATTGAAGGATTAGTGAAGAAGAGATTATCTCATATCTAATTGCTAATAGTGACCTCTGGCTGAGAAGTATTGCCCACAGCCCCAATCAAGGTTCTGCCATCTTTACATCAGTTAGTACAGCACATCTGTAACAGTCTACTTACTCTCTTGCTCAGAGATTTTTTTTTTTTGGAGGGGGGGGGGAAGAGGATAGAGAAGTAGTAAAATACCATTATTATATGTATTAACTTCCTCATTGAAAAGAGTGAGGAGGAAGTAGAGGAGTATGTACTGTTAAGTTTTCATGAAAGTTTTGCAAGCCATGGTATGTAATCCTACTTTCATTCTGCAGAGTAAACGGGGATCTCAGTGTGGAGCCTGATGGAGACTTGCTTTCATTTTAAGATTGTCAGTACAATTTTTGACACTGAAATACAATATGCTATTTAAAAAAACCACACATACTCTGACTATGAAGGTGACTCCACAGAGTATTTTACTGACAATTTACTATGTTCTGATGCTTATCAATATCCTAGTTCTCCACTTGGTCTTCCCTTCAGACTTAAATTTCAATGCTTTCTCAGATGTTTTAGTTGGAAAATGAAAACATCTTTTCCCTTTTTTGAAAATAAATCTATCCTGTCTCTATTTTCTTACTTTAGAAGGTAAGCTTAGATTTTGGTTTGTTTTTAATTCTATTCATCTGTAGCTGATCTGAAAGAATATATTGGACTACTTACCTACCAATAAACATGCAGAATGTTTCCCCTTTAGACTTATAAAGACCATAACATACATAGCTCAATATATTTGTATATTTCCAGTGTTGTTAGTTATTAAAATTTATCCATATAAGTTGTATAAATACCATGCTTCTCCTGAACACAGAATTTTGGTAAATCTACCTTAGGATGCCATTTGGTTTTCATTACAACTATAGAAATATAACTGTAGAACAGCTGTGAAGAAAACAACCTATATTTGTTGTGAGAAAGAAGAAAGCTTGATAAAACCATCAATTCCTTCCAAAAACTGCACGATAAGTTCAAAACCTGGACTTCATTGGCAGATAAGCAATTAGATACATTGTAACCAATGTTGTCTCAAAATGTTTAATACCAATTTGTAGGAAGACATATTTTTGCAAAATAAAATGTCAAATAATTTTACAAGTCCTTAAAATTAATTTCAAAGAAGCCTGTCATTCAGTCACTGCAATAATAAACCCATATGAATATAAATCTTATTCTGATCTTATAATTTAAACATCTAACATTTAAAGCTACAATTTAGTGATTACAATCACATTAAAAATTATTATGCTAAAGTCACTTTTTGTCCTGGTCTGAAAGTTGCTCCATTCTGCCCTTTCCTCTTCTTGGGATGCTGAAAATTCTCATAGCTAGAAACAAGAATAAGTAATAGCATATTAGTATAAGATGCCATCATTCTTTTCAAAATCCTCATTAGTTACACATCAATGCCAATGAAGACCAAACCAGTTGTGTGTGATTGTATGAATAACGCAAGAGTTGTACATATTAGAGAATACCCTCTTTACACAATGTTAGGAACAAACTATGAGTGATCATAGATTCATATTAATGAAAGATTTATACCTATAAAGACCCTTCCAATAAATGTTTGCTGCAGGATGGGACATTCTTACTCCTTATTAGCAACACTGCAGATATATAAGATTAATAGAACAAAATGTATGTTACACAGAATCCTTAGCTAGAGCAACAGATTTCATTTACTGTAATTCCAAATCCATGTGAAGTTCCCAGCAGATTGTGAGAGGAAATTCTTATACGCCCAAGCTCTGAAAAGCAGGGACACTCTGGCCCTGGCTACACTGGCGCTATACAGCGCTGCAACTTGCTGCGCTCAGGGGTATGAAAACGCCCCCGCCCGAGCGGAGCAAGTGCAGCACTGTAAAGCGCCAGTGTAATCAGCACCTGCCGCCTGCAGCGCTGCACGCTCGCTCGCAGCACTGCAAGCTACTCCCCTCGGAGAGTACACGCGACTACACTCGCGCTTCACAATGCTGCCACGGCAGCCCTGTGAATTCCCAAGTGTAGCCATGGCCTATTCTCTAAGAGATAATCAACTCAGGGATCAAAGTACGGTGCTAGGGCAGCCCACCAAAAAGGTCTGAATTTAACACCTCCTCAACCAGACCCAAAACAAAACAAAAAACTCCCCCCTCCCGAGCTTCAGCTTTCTCAGGTCACTATGAAATTAGGTCTAACTTAGCAATGATATCCATGTCAATGGATGGGAATATGGTAAATGCAGATTAAAACATTAAAAATTGTTACCGAACTTTTGCCTCAGATTAACTGCTCCCTTTCTCTATTTTTTTCCTCATTTTTAAGAAGTTATTAAACTCAAAAGAACAAAAAATTTAGAGACAAAAATACCACCCCCCAAACCAAAACACCTGACTTATTGCTGAAACAAGCAGCTGAAACCACTGTTTGTCTGGTATAGATGCAGGATGGGCCTAAAATATTTAAAATATTACTTGTGTATTCTGAAACATTAGCATTTAATTGCATGTTAAATTATTTATGATTTTACTTTGCAAACAAAAATATGAATACAACTAAACATGTGAATATTTTATACTTTCATGAGCAAAGAAATGTAACACTTTGCTCATGTAACACGCCATCTCAGGGATCCAAGAATCTCTTGGTGCTATAGAAAGCAATATAGTTATACATAATGTAGTTGTAACTTGGAATCTAATTGAGAAAACTGAGTTATAACATGGAGCTTCCGCAATATACTGAAGCGTGTTCTATTCATATGAAAAAGATAGATTAAATTAATTGAAGATTTTTTAATTATTCTTGTTGCTACTGTAGATAGTACTTGCAGTAGAAATTGAGTCTGACCGAAAAGCCCATTGATAAAAATGGGATTGTTTCCATCATCTTCAGTGGTCTTTGGATCAGGGTGCATAATTGCCTTGATTTTCTAAGGGTCAGTTTTCCCCTTCAGGCAAATAGGTAACTTCCTTTAGCACTAGTGGGATTTATGTAGACAATTATGTAGCTGAAGTAAGAATGAGCCACTAGCATGCATCGTTGCTATCAACCATAAGATAAAGTAGTCTAAATAATGGAATAGCTAAATCTAAGCAAGTTAATATCTATATGCAATCAAAATAACTAGAAGGAGAAACAACAGAGAAGATAATGCAAATGTTCAAACCAACACACTGGTGAATTGTGCTTCCCTTATGCATATTTAATTTTATTAATGTTTAATAGTTCAGAAGTGCTGAAAAGATGAACTTTGCTGTGGGGATTATATAATTTATAATATAATTCAGTTATTTTGCAAAACACTGATATTAAACAACTCTTGAAAGATTGAACTAAATGTAATGTTCATGCATGAAATTTAAACAAATTTAGTAACATAATTTACTACTTACAGTTCAACAAAATTCTTCCAGTCATCTTGACTTACAGATGGTCTTGTGTCCTCAAGTGCAGCCATTAAGTGGGACTGACTAATAATTAAAGTGTTCCTGGTTAATCCTGATTGGCTAGGGGCAACATCCTCCTTGAAAACAGAAAATAAATAGTAATAACTTTGGGATCTTTTCCAACATTTGTCAGTATTATTCTAAAGTATATTTTATCTCAGGTGTACTACACACACAGTACTAAGCTTATCTCTAGACATTAAAAACACAGGAATAATGTAGCTATATGAAGCAGTCAACTTGCTGGCATATTTTGTCAGACTATGTCTTCGACCTTTACACATTAGCTTTACTCTGTTTCAGTTTAATATTACTGCAGAAATAATTTATAAACCAGAAAAAATACAGACAAGGAGTGAAAACGAATCGAAACATGTTAGGATTGAATAATATGAAAAAACTGCCATACTCCATTCTTGCTCCTGTAGTTGGCCTTGATTGCATTGATTTCAGCCCTGAGTTGCTCTATTTGTTCTTGATTAAGTTCTTGGAAACCTTCTTGTGAGGCGGTTCTGAGCATGGAGGGTTGCGACGATACTATATCTCTCAAAGTAATGCCAGTTAAATCATGGGTTATGGAGTTTGGTCCAGACAAACACTGAGAGCTCTAGAGTGACGGGGGAAAAACACTAAGTTATTATTAATCCAAAACAGCAACTCCATAGTTAAGATTTTAATACTCGTTCCATTTAACCACAGTTATGTACCTAAGCTTTCTCTCTTCACCAATAAAAATCCTTTTTTTCTAAAATGTGTCATTTATACTGACATCCCAGCACAAAAGCTTCTGGCTAACCAGACAAGCTATTTTGGACATTGTCAAGGGGTATATGTACCCCGTGCTGGCCCAGCAACCAAAAGGTTAACACAGGCACTGCTGGTCATTGCTCCTTAGCTGTCTCAACATAGCTGGGAGGATAAAAGGACTGGGAAGCAAAGGGGCAGGGCGGGGCAGCCATCAGAAGAGTAAGAAGGCTTGGAGGAGGGAACTCCTGCCAGCAAGCTGCTGAAGAGACACTCAGGGACAACACCCTGGAAGGAGACAGCCAGAACAGCAGGCTGAAGAGTCTGCAGAAACCCGGGGGAAGTAGGGAGGAGCTCAGGGCATAGCTGGAGACAATGAATCCTGATCCAGCTTATCTAGCTTGAGGACCCTGAGCTGGAACCCAGTGGAGTGGGTGGGCATGGATTTCCTTACCAACCCCCTGATGGACTTAAGAGTGGGGAGGGTCTTCAGATCCCTGGGCACCAGTAATAGACTAACAGCCCACCAGGCTAAATGAGTTCAAGTGCCAATGCCCCGCTGGCCAGAGGGGGCACCATTGCACCAACACATTGGCTCAAACAACATACAAAACTTTGAATAAGGTATTTCACTTTTAGAAAAATCTAACTTTTTGGGAATGCCCTATTTCAAAAACAGTTTGGTCTAATAAGTCCAAATTGGTTTTAGTTATGAGTGAAAAATGAAGGTTATTTACTTGTACTCTGAGTTCTTTGAGGCCAAACTGCACCAGCTGGTGCACTTCAAGAGTGTGAATACACAGAGTACACTTGAAGAAGAAATGAAGGTTACTTATTTGTAACCAGAATTCTCTGAGGTGGTCTCTGAATATTCAGACTCTTAGGGATGCAACAGCAGTACAACTTGGATGGTGTGTCCAAGCTGTACTGGTTGGCACATCCCAACAGTAGGAAGAACTAGGGGCTTTGAATTCTGAGAAAGTTTACATAGTAAGTTTTGAAACTATTCACTCTGATAATTTAAACATCAGTAATCTGTGAGTTCTCTGCAAACTTTAGAAAATTTATATCATTCCAAAGCCCAAAGCTGAAGCATATTAGGAAGTTCAAGAACTCTGAAGTATCAAACTGTCATCTATGCTATATTTCAAAAGCACCTCAGGGACTTAGGTTCCTAAGTCCAATTTTCAAAAGTGACTTAAGCATTTACACTCCTAAGTCTCTTGAAAAACTCCTTGAAGGTCACCTAACTGCCATTTGTGCCTCTAAAAATCACCCCTTAAATCATTTTTGAAAATGGGACATAGGTGCCTAAGTTACTCATTTAGGCACTTTTGAAAATTTTACCCCAATCTAATTTATACAGTTACTGGAGAATAAAGGTGTCTGCATTGGAGGGCTATTGATGTTTACCATGATACTTCATCATAAAACTAAAGGAATTTCTCAGACAAAATTCTTTATTAAGATAAAATTAAGGGTCTGAATACACATATCAACTTTTTAATACAAGAGCTTGATCAGAACACTGCAGTTATTACAAAAATAACATCTGAAAGACAGGTGAGTCTACATTAATGTTAAAGTTTAAAGTACAATTATGGAAAACTATGAAGTTCATAGGTTACACAACCTAACTCTGATGTTATATCAACATCTGTCTTCTACCTACACATCAACAATCCCCATATATCCAAACATGCTAGAACTGCACTAGAAAAATCATATTTAAGCATAGTTTTAACCACAGTATTGACAGGGACTACCAGACGTGCTACTTAGAGATTGTCTTTGTTGGAATGTCTGCTAAGCTGTTAAAGAAATTCTCCCAGCATGTAGTCTCTGACAATCCTGTAGGGTCTGATTCAGAGAAGTACTTAAGCACATGCATAACTTTAAGCATATGACTAGTTCCACTGACTTCTGATATCCTTAAAGTTATTCATATACCTATGTACATTGCTGAATTGGGGCCTTAATCTCTAATGTTCTGATCCAACAACCACTGAATCCAATCAAGACTCCTGTTGACTTTACTGAACTGAATCAAAACCTAAATGCATTTCAATTTACTGTGTTAGAAATGCAGAACAAAATCAATTTCCCTACACAGAGAACTGCCTTTGAAATTGCCTCCTGTAAGATACTGACTGCATTACTAGCCATTGTGCTTTAAAAACTGTTATTAATGTAGATGATATTTGACATATTAAAATATTTTGAACATTCATCCATGTTTTAACATGGAAACATTACGAATATACAGCTTTCTTTTAGGGACAAGAGTGGAAGAGTGAAACATGTTACAGTAGCTTGACAAACTTGTTGGAGTTCTGTTAAAGGAGAAAAAAAAATTAGGTTCAGCCTGGTAATAAACAGCAGCAGTACATTTTCCTAGTGTAATGGAGATCTGGGTTCAAAAGTGATCATCGGAGATTAATCCCTATACCTTTAATAGCATTCTGTCATCTCATGGTTAAGACATGGTTAAGGTTGGTGGGGGGGACGACACACATTTATTTTGTTTTAAAGAAGAGCAAAGTCAACCGAGCACTTTATTTCGTAATTTAAAATATTTTAAGCTGCTTAATGATAATTGTTTAAAAAAAATCAGGTTATCCAGTTACATATAGAGACAAGTTTATAAAAAAAAAAATCTTATAGGAGTTTTACTCAGAAAGTTACAAGATCATTACTTGTTGCTAATAAAACCTTAAATTAGTGTTTTTGTGTTTAAAAAAAAAGTTTGTGATAAAGATATAGTCTTAGTCACGGTTACTGAAGAATGCCAGGCACAATTAATTATATAGCATTGTAAGTGTGTATACTGTATTGCAGATTTATGCAAAAATATAGTCCCTTATCCAAAGACTTTACATTCTAATATAAGTAAATATAAAAAACACCAGAGAGGAGGTGAACACACGATGCACCAAACTAGCTGAAACTGTAGAGCTGCAGTAACAATGGTCCTGGATGAAGACATTTGTCCCAATATCTTATCTCAAAAAAAATAATTTTGTTTGCAGCTCCCCATGAATAACCTAGTGGTGACGTAGAATTGAGCTAAGTTCTACTTTAAGAATAAATGACATGAGGGATTGCCTGAGAATCCAGTCTGAATTCTAGGTGCAAAAAAGGCTGGCTAAAGTAGATTCTGATACCTGGAAGACCACTGGGAATAATAAAAATTCCATACATAAGATTTGAACTTTTCTTGATATTAATACTTTGGATACCCATCCACCAGGATTTAAACTTTGATAACAAATTTAATACGATGTTGTGAGAGACTGTAATATCCTAAACTTTATTGAATTAAGTTAAACCTTATTGAATGATGGTTAATACTTTTGGAATACATTGTGTTAAAAATGCAATTGTATATGTATTGTTGTGGCATTCACTGCTCCAGGCCAATGGGGGCGGCGGGAAGCGGTGGCCAGCACATCACTCGGCTCGCGCTGCTTCCCGCATCCCCCATTGGCCTGGAGCGGCGAACCGCAGCCAGTGGGAGCTGCGATCGGCCAAACCTGCAGACGCGGCAGGTAAACAAACTGGCCCGGCCCACCAGGGTGCTTACCCTGGCGGACCACATGCCAAAGGTTGCCGATTCCTGGACTAAAACAATAGGCACTACAAAGTGAAAAAATCAAAGGTCAAACCAAATAAACTTATATGGAACGTAATATTGCAATTAAAGAGATTAAGGTAAATCAAAGACAGAATGATCACAATATTTAAAACAGAGAAAAGAAAAGATGGGAGAGGAATTTGGACAAAAATTCATCTAGATGAGTGCGTCTCTGTATGAGAAACAAGATATACATTTTCAATATGTGTAGCTCAAAACTATATTTTTAAAATAAATTACTGTATAGATGGCATTTGACTCCAGTTAAGATCCATTGTATTTTTTACACTAGAGATGCACTTAGTTGGAGGAAATGTGGAGAAAGGGGGACACAGTTGCACATGTGGCAGTGGCACCCATGAATGAGATGATTTGGGGAGGAAATTATTAAAGAAATTAATCTTATAACAAAATGCCAGCTTCCCAGGAATACCCTGACCTGCTAACTTAATGCACCAGTAAAGGAGCTACATTTTAAACAGAATAACAAATTCATTTCTTTTTTATTGTTAGCAAGATTTTGTATTGCATGTTATTGGAAAAATGTGACTTCTATGGGATTGTGGTATAGTAAAATATGGAGTCTCTTTATAATGGAAAAGGTTTCGCATCAAGTACATATACAAGAGAAGCGCCAAAAAGAGGATAGTTATTTAGAAATTTGGTCACCCTTTTTAGCATACTCAGAGGAAGAGGGCCTTAGCCAGCAAGCCAGAATCTTTAGCTAGGTTCTTTGAATATTAACATGATCCTGAATAAGTAATAAGTAATGTACAATGAAGTATGTTAATGTCTTACTGTAACTTTGATATAATAAAAAGTTTAAAAAAAAAAGGTTTTTTCTTTGTGTTTTGGGAAAATATTTGAACTCCCTCATGTTAAAACTTCTTCCAAAATCTGGAATAGACGCATTTGGATTGGAAGGGTCCTCTTGTGTATTGTATCATGTAAATCCATTCCCTGTATCATAGCAAGATTGAATTTATTATCTCTAAACCACCCTTAACAGGCAGGTGTCAAATTTAGCCTTGTGGCAAGTCTATCTTTGAATACCTCAAGTAATGGTAATTCTACAGCTGCCTCTGGCAGTTTATTCTACTGACTAGCTGACATTATATTTATAAGCTATTTCTAAATACTTGATATTAATTTTCCCTGATGCACCTAGATCTTGTGGGATTACTGCAAGTAGTGTAATACTTGCTCTACTGTATTTGAAAGAGACATGGTTATTTTGAGGGGTTTTATGATTTCAGTAAATATGAACAAAATTTATTCCCTGAGGATAAAAAATAGAGAATACAGCTTTGAATATTACTGGCCAAGCTTTGTTATAAGATAATATTATTACTTCTATGGTAACATAATTAAAATTATACCTCATGTGACCTTGAATGAATGGAAGCAAAGAGCTGCCAAAGAACTATGCCAACCCTGAGAATCTAGTTATACCTGTTGGGAAGAAGTGGCTACCTGAATTATAATGTCATTAAATGATTTAGTAGGAATTTAAAGGAAAGTTGTTTAGCCAGTTAGGATTTCAGCCTGACAACAGGCTATTACAGTTTCAAATCACCAAGCTTTCTTCAAAATGATTAATATTTATTTTCTGTACAAAGACCTCTAATAGGACTTTTAGAAAAACCCTATTATCTAGAGCCAATTTGAAGATAAGAAAAAAAGTATGATTTTATCAGTAAGAGGTGCTTTAGCCTAAAAAAACGTTTTTCAGGATTTAAAATATTTTTTTATAAACCCATGCATTTCATAGAGATGCAAGATCCTGTTTCAAAAATTAAATTTACTTTTTCATTTGTTCACTGCATCACATAAGTTCTTAAATATATTCTCAATTTTTTTTTATAATTTCTGTTCTTTGGTTTTCAACACACGTTGAACCTGTTCATGTGTGTCTGACGTGAATTATAACAAACAAGCCCTTGGATATGTGGCATCAATAGGACCAGCATTAACAAAATAAGTTACCCATCCATAGTTGCTAAAGTCCCATTATGGTGAAATCCTGAGTCTGGCACAAGTAAAGGAATAAAGGAATCAATTCCTTAGGTGACTTGTTTAACAGCGGTGGCAACAAAACTATGGACTTAAGAACCAGAATTTCTAATCAATAACTGCAGCTAAGATTTTCTTACTCCACAGAAGCAACCCATTTGGCCAAAAGTAGTGCACTGATGGAATAGCTGATTGGAAACTGCCACATTCCAGATGCTGGCATTCTCAGCATTTTGATTGTGACTTGGCTCTCCAGCAGTCTATGCTGACTGAAATGGTTCTGTAATATGGTACTATTCAGCCTCGGTTACTTTGGGAGAATTTTTTTGCGGGAAAAAACAGATAGTTTACATAAAAAGAACTAGTTAGGACATGGTTTACTTAATTATAAAATATCTTGGTCTAAGACGCTGTCAAATTGCAGAGAAGTCAATATCATATTTTGTCAGTGTGCCTTCCTCTCTCCTCTCAGGAAGTGACAAGAGAAGATGGCCTGGGAAGGTTTGAGAGATAAAGCACTGTAACTGTTCCTGTCTTTTAAATTCACTGTATCTGTTTTCAAACACAAAATATCCTAATTTGTACATTTTTATATTGTCCCCCTAAAAAAAAGTTTAGAATAAATGTCAATTATAGAAAAAGAGGCAAATTACCAGTTCTGAAGGAGTTCCATTTCCTAGCTCTGATTCATAGGAGCTTCCAAAGTAAAGACGATAAATGTTGGACCTTGAATCTTCAGGAAACAACTCGGACATCTCTAGGGAAATAAGAGACTGCTCCAGCCCTCCTTCTACATCCCCTGCTGAATCATCTGAACCACTGCTATGGTTTAAGAAAACCATAGAAGAGAGACTGAGGTCACTGTCTGAACTAGAACCGATATCCTGAGACAAAACAAGAACAAAATGAGAACATTGCCAGAGGCTTTAATTTAGTCACACATAACAGCAATTTGCTATTTCATTTAAAATTGATATTTAACAAACAATTTAATTTGGGTTGTTTCTGCTTGGTTGCTGATTCTAGCAATCCCTCCTCCACTGTGAGGAAATTTCTAAATATTTTTTGCAGAGAAAATTCTTCAGATTTAGCTGGAACTTTTTGCTTCTGTAGCAGACAGAAGAGCAATAATTTGGGAGATAAATATAATGTCTTATTTCATTGTTTCGTGGCCTGTGTCACTCACTAAGCATATGGAGATGTTAACAGAACTTCAAACGCAACCTGTACTGTACCATATCCTTCCGGGCTGATGAAAGACTGCTGGAAAGTAACTGGTCCATTATTAGTGGTGTTTGTCAATGTTTCTATTAAGAGGGAAAGATGCTGCTAAATTTTAAAGAGGTTTGTGTATGCCTTTTCCTCAAGAAACCATCAGTTGATGTTGACAGAGCGGCTACTTACTGCCCTATTTCAAACCTTTGTGAGATGAGTGAGTTGCGATATGAAAATAAGTGACCTGAAGGTTGAAGGCTGAAAACCAATTCCCTGGTTGTAATGATGGAATTATAGCTACAAGAGAAACCATCCTGAATTTTTGAGACTTGACAATGTTGTTTAGGAGTCTTAGATCCAAAATTGGTCTCCATCCTCCTTTCTTTTTTGGGACCAGAAAGTAGCTGGAATAAAATCCCTTCCCTCTGTGCAGAATAGAAACTAGTTCTACAGCCAAGTATCAGAGGGGTATCCGTGTTAGTCTGTATCCACAAAAAACAATGAGGAGTCCAGTGGCACTAACAGATTTATTTGGGCATAAGCTTTTGTCGGTAAAAAAAACCACTTCTGCAGATGCAGCTACAGCATCCATTTGCAGATCCACTTCTAGCTTTAAGAGGTGCTTGTGAGAGGGGTCCATGAAGAGGGACGGGGAAGGGGGTGGGTGTAGGGGAGGGAAGTAAGATAAATAGCATTCTCTGATCTTATACCTCCAGGACCCATTTGTCTGATGTGGTTCTCTCCTATGCAGAAAAAAACGTGGGAGAGAGATTCCAAAAAGAGTAGAAGGAGGGTACAATGGTGTATATACAGCTTGGTGTTGGGGGGGATAGTTTCGGGTCTTCAACAAGCCCATTAAAACTGATGCTTAGATTATGGTGTTTCAGTAGCAGGTGCAGAGGGAGCAGGTGGTCTCTTTCTCAGGACCCTCAACTTTTTCCTGGGTGGTTCATATGGTCTCCGCAATCCTGAGAATGAAGCAGGGTAGGATCTTTGAGTGGTTTGGAATCTACTAAATTTGTCTGTAGGTGTGTAAATCCCAAGGGATCGCAATGTGGCTCTGGAATCCTTATAGGTATTCAGTGATTCACCAGTGGACTCAATGAAGTCATCAAAGGGAAGGTATTCAACTAGGAATACAGAGGGGAATCCCTATGCATGACTACTGCCATAGAGATGGATCAAGTGGCAATGTAGGCTGTGTCCAAAAAGGTCTGTAGCTAACAGCGGACTGTCATTAATAGCAACCTGAAATGGGTCACACTGATCAGCCGGCAGATGCTCAATAAAGGTGGTAATTTGAATGATTGCATTTAGTCATGAGAGCTTGACAGTTCGCGGTCCTAAATTGAAGTGTTCTGGATGAGTAGGTCTTTCTGCTGAATAGATTAAGGCGTTTTTGGTCCTCATCAGATGGTGTGGCCTTCGCATGATGTTGTCTGTCATATTTGTTCACTGACTCCACAACCAGGGAGATCAGTTTCAGATGGGTTAACAGAAATTCAGAGTCTTTAGCTGGGACATAATATTTTTTATCATCCTGTTTACACGTCGGTGGAATTGTTGCAGGGGTCTGACAGATGGTTTTGGCAAGATTGAACAGGGCCTCATTAATAGACAGGGCAACTCAGGTATAGGGATCCACTGGAGGATGTCCAAGAGCTTATGCTGTTACTCCCTGACCTCTTCCAGGGGAACCTGGAGGGAATCCATAATGCGCTTCATTAACTCTTGGAAGTATCTGAAGTCATCAACCACAGTTGATGAGGGAGGCATAACTGCTTCATCTGGGAAAAATGAATATTTGTTTGTGGAGTAACCTCTTTATCTGTCTTGGCCTCTTGCTCCTCAAAGGATTTTTGTTCCTGAGATAATGAAGGAGGAGCAATTGGAGTAGAGGAGCATCTCCCTTTGTATTCACTGCAAGAGAGACAAGGGTCATGGGAAAATTGTGGACAATACACAGTCCAAAAATCTCAGTGTGGCCAATAGGGAGGGCCAAAAGGCATCTGAGTGACATTCACTGGTGCTTGAACCAGGTCAGGGGAACACAGGCCCACCTTTGGTGCAAATCCCACTCTTGTCAAAAGTGTCAGGATGGAAATCTCTTGTCTGAAGTGTCAGGGAATCCTGGATAAAACTATTTGAATGAAAGGAAAATTCCTGCTCTTCAAGAGGGGGAGCCTCAACACACTCTGAATGTGTTGGAGAGCCAAGTGGCACCAGGGAAAGGTCTAACCTTGGTGACCGTGCTTGTCGCAGTACCGATAACCTTGCAGTACTGACTAACAAGGGAGACTCCAGCTCCTGCAAAACCAGTAGATTCCTCAAGAATCTCCAAAGCAGTCTTGATTCATGGGAACTGAGGTATTTTTGAGGTGGACTCTTTCTGTGGAGAATGACTTCATTTTCTATGGGTTTTCTCTGTGGATTTACCTTGGGTAGACATAGGTGAATGTGTTGAAGTTGACAGAGCCCTGTGTTCACTGAGCAGCCAATGTCCGGTAGGGTCTCCTGGCCTGGAGCTGAGGCTTGTTGGAGGGAACTCTCCATTATTAAGAGTCAGTTTTAGCTCCCGATTTTTTCTTACCCTACCCTTAAAGATGGAGCAGATGGAGCATTCTCAGGGGATATGAGATTCAACCAAGCGGTGGACACAACGAGAATGCCTCCCAGCATTTCTCCCAGCAAGAAATTCACCACTTGAAGCTCAGAGAACCTGGCCTACCCCCAAGGCAACAGAATCTAACAGAGGAAAGTCCCCCTCCCCAATGAGGAAAGAGATCAAAAGTCACCCTAAATTATTAAATAAAATGTAAATGTAATAACTAAAGAAGGGTACCTAGGCTAAGCAACTTTGAAAAGAAGGCATGGAGAGTGGCTTGCCTGTGCGCCCCTATATAGCCTGGAGTGGGGCATGAGGAATTATATGATGCATGCGCAGGCCAAAGAGATACTACTACCAAAATACTCCGATTAAAGGTGTATGGGGCATGAGCACACCTGAAGTGGAGCACCCATGGGGACACTACTCAACGAAGAATTATCAGGTGTCCACGCTGATATTATTAGGTATGTCAACTGCTTTTAGTATCCTAATGTTGGGAAAATGCTCACTGACCCTAAAGACACTCAGGTGAGGGGCTACTGGGTTCTATCTTGTCACTCCTCTCATTCAATATGCATGGGTTCAGACCAAAACAAATCAATTTAACATCTTTTCTAAATGGCAAATATACTTTAAAAAGTTAAACTAATTTTGTCACAGGGAAATTATTACAATTTTAATAAGCTACAAATATAGAATAAGATTTAAACTATCTGTCAGAGTTTACAGATCACAGAAATTATAGGAAAAGGAGACATTTTATTTAAATATAATTTTTCCAAAAGTGGCAGAAATCTATTTTGGGTAAAGTTAACCTCTCTAAAATATATTTGTAACACAATGCAGTAATTAAGGAAATACTTTAAATACTTGAAGTGCACTTACTTGTGGTAAACTTGAACCCAAGCTAGCATGTATTGCCTCTAACTGGGCATTGTACAGTAAAGCTTTTAGGTCAGCTCCTGTGAAGTGCTCTGTTTTTGCTGCCAAATGCTGAAAGTCCACATCATTTGCCAAAGGCAGAGAATGACTGAGGGCTTTTAGGATTTCAAAACGAGAAGTCTAAAAAGAAAAAAAAAAAAGGTAACGTCATCTGTTTCCTGCTTCTAACTGCTATTCAGTACTTTGACAGTCATTCTCTCAAGCACTTTCTCAGGAGGTCAAACTAATCTACAGAAATGTAAGTTTTGGAAGGAATACTTGTATAATTAAAATAGTACATATATGAAAATACTGCACAATCTATTTTCAAATACAAGCATATGCTTATTACTACTATCACTTAATTTTTCTAAGAAAAATACTGCCAAACAAAATATCCAGTGAGCCATGAATTCTCTGAGCGCATTCTCTAATTATATCATCAATATCCAAGATTTTTAAATACACCATTAAATGTGAACTCTCATGCACATTTTATAAATATAACGGGATTTGCCTTTTTACCAGTTTTCACCTTTCTAAACATAAGAAGAGAAGTGTCCAGACAAAGGAAATGACCCTATTGGCCTGAAGAGCTCATTTTTTTGTCCTATGGAAATAGCAATGAAAAATATTTGGATAGAATGTGTTTGCATTCTTAGTGCATGGGATTATCTATCTTTGTGCATGTGAGTATGAAATGGGATGATATCTATTAAACTTGCCATGTAAATTGCTAATGAATATTCTCCATTATAATTAGGAGCAATCAAAGGGACAAATCCTGCAATCTCTACTGGCCTGATCCAAAACCCACTAAAGTCACTGAAAGTCCTTCCATTTACATCAGTGAGTGTTGGATCAGGTCCTATGACTGTACATAACTGTCCAAATGCTGATTAAATATGTTTCCATTGCATGCAGGCCAGGTAAGGGAACACCCAAACAGCTGGACTCCATGCCTACCTGCTCTGGAAAACACTGGGTCACTAATTTGCATGGGGAAGCAAAAGGCCATGTACTCTACTCCTCATCATGCCCTGCAACAGCAGGTGAAATGGAGACCTGGGCCCTGTTGGCAGATGGAAATGACAAATTTCAATCTCCACAATCCCTGCTCCTATGTATTTCCTGTAAGCAAAGCCCCTTTTATGTGGGCTTTGTCCACAAGATCATGATTGGTTCTACATCTGTGGAAAACAATGGAAGAATATCTGGAGAAAATAAACAATAACACTACCAGTCAAATCAAATCAAATATGGCTGTCTACTAAATGGGATTACAAACATCTGAAGGGTTACATTCTTTCTACAAACACAAGACCTAAGAATACTGGGACTGATTTTACACTGCTTGAACACTGCATAGTCAGTTACACAGTGCAAAGCGGGCGTAGAACTCCATAATTTTGATTTGGTCGTGTTTTATCCCCATTTTACATTCATTGCATCTGATCCACTCTGCATTACTCCAGTTTTATACCAGTGCAATTCCACAGAAATTATTAAAGTTACACAGGTGTAAAACTGAAGTGATGCAATGGTGAACCAAGTCCACTTTGTTCAGGTGTCCATGACTACACAAAGTACAAGGTAATGGAGAATCCTGTTCATTATTCTAATTTTTTTCCTTTCATATATGGTGTAGTATATTGTTTCTTCACCTGATCAGGAGGAGGACAGTACAGGCATTTATCCAGTCGACCTGGCCTCAACAGAGCAGGGTCAATCAAATCAGGACGACTAGTAGCAGCCAACACATAAACCCCTTAGAAAAAGTAAGAGATTATCATTAATGTGTTGAACTCATGCCTTTTAAAAATTAAAAAAAGACGCAGCTAAATTATTTACCTTGTAAGCCTTCTACTCCATCCAGCTGAGTCAACAGTTGGTTAACCACTCGGTCTGTCACTCCAGTATTATCATGACCTCGTCGAGGGGCAATGGAATCAAACTCATCAAAGAAAACTATACAAGGCTTGGCTGCCTGTGCTCTGGAACAAAATGCAATCCTTCAATTCAGTTTAGGTTTAAGCTAAGTAAAATAAATCTGCTTAGAGATGTGAAATATGTGTTCTGTTTGGTTTGTAAGGACTTGTCTACACAACACTTATTTGTAGCAAGTTGGGGTGTAAATCTACCCTGTGCTAGTGGGGATCCTACTAGTGTGCACTAAAAGTTCTGTAGTATTTGATCTACCCGCTTTGAAAAGGAGTAGACTGAAGCGCAGTAGGGAACTTCTGGTGTGCAGAAGCAGGGTTCACACAGACGCTGAGAGCTTGTCTACACAAACATTTAGTTTACAGCAAGTTGCTGTGTGAATCTAGCCTGCACTAGTCTGCCACAGTCTAACTGTTCGTGTGAACCCAGCTAATGCACATTAAAAATCCGCTAATGCGCTTTGATCTAGTCCTGTTTCAAAGAGGACTAGATTAAAGTGCTCTACCAAACTGTTTATGCCTGAACTGTTAGACCGTGGCAGAGTAGTGCGGGGGTAGATTCACACCGTAGCTAGCCGCAGCCTAAATGTTTGTGAAGGTAAGCCCTTAGTGCAGTGGTTCTCAAACTTTTGTACTGGTGACCCCTTTCACATAGCAAGCCTCTGTGTGTGACCCCCCCTTATAAATTAAAAAAACTTTTTTATATATTTAACATCATTATAAATGCTGGAGGCAAAGCGGGGTTTGGGGTGGAGACTGACAGCTCACGACCCCCCCCATGTAATAACCTCATGACGCCTTGAGGGGTCCCGACCCCCAGTTTAAGAACCCTTGTATGGCAGACTATTGCAGGGTAGATTTACATCCCAGCTTGCCATGAACTCAGTGTTCATGCAGGCCAGTTGTGTGCAACCTTATTACACAGGAGGGCCACATAAACCTAATACTCCTAGGGAAATTCTGTGCCAAAACATTAAAAATTCTGCGCACAATATTTTCAAATTCTGCATATTTTATTTGTCAAAATAACACAATATAATCACACTGGTTTCAATTATTTTTGGTCATTTATTTCAAAATACCTGTCAGCAAGTATGTCTGTAACAATACAGGCAATAAAAAAAGATTCAGAAAATGTTTTTTGACAAATAGATTCTTTACTAGGCATATTAATACAGAACTCTGAATAATAATTCATTTAAACTTCAATACAGAACCATATTTCCCGCACCCCTCGGAGTCAGGGAGGTAATGGAGGAGCTGAGGGAGAGGGAAGTAATTGCTGGGAAGGAGTCTGGGTGTGAACTTGGAGGGTTGTTGCGTATGAGTGGGAAAAGTATGGAACAGTTTTTTTGGGGGGGTGGGGATGGACTGTTAGGGAGCTTCCCCCATGCAGACCCTGGCTGACCCCTAGCTTCTCCGATTCAGTCAGGCACATCTGCCGTGTCCCCATGTGTCCCTGTACCCCCATGTATCCTTGCATGCCCTGTCCACATGTCTCTTCACCCCCACTCAGACACCCACTCCCCCCCATTCCCATGTGTCCTTCCACCCCCACTCAGACACCCCATTCCTGTGTGGTCCTGCATCCCCTCCCACATCCCCATGTGTCTCTGTGCCCCCACTCAGCCACTCCCCTGTACTTGTGTCCCTGCACCTCTCCCCATGTGTCTGTGTGCCCCCCTCAGCCAGCCCCTTCCCCCTGTAGCTCTGCGCCCCCTCCCGCTCTGCCCAGATGGCCTTGCACCTCCCTCCCCCTGTGACCCTGGACCTCCACTCCCATTCAGCCCCAGTCTGTCCTCCCCCACTAGCCCTTATGAGCTCCTGTCTGACCCCCCAGCAGCCACACGCTGTCTATCTCCCCATAGCCCCAATCTCCTGACGTGGCCTGACAGGTGCTGCAAAGAAGGCAGGCTCTTTCTCTTCCCTAGCAGGCTGGGACCGGTTGCTGTGTTCTATCGCCACAGTGCCCTCTGGTGAGCAAAAGGTAGAACTGCAGCAACATTCCAGCAGACGCTTTTTTCTGCGCAAAAAATTAAAATGATGTGTGGCTCATTAATTATGCACACGTGCAGTGGCAAGGAATTCCCCCAGGAGTAACCTAAGCACAACCTTGTGTGGGCCAAACAGATTCTACAGATTTTAATAAGATTTAAAATCACCTGTATTGGTTTATATTTTCAGTTCAGCTTGTTTTGTATATTTTTAGATAGAAACAACCTATGTACAGTATTGTTTATTTATACACTTGTGTAAACTAAAATGATGTAAACATGATGACAAAACGCTAATGAATCGGCCATTAGTATATTGTACAAAGCAAACAGTGGGCCTTATGAAATGCTCTGGTGGGTTGTGTATGGCCCCCACACAGTAGGTAGACAAGTCCTAATATGGTTACATTTAATTATAGAAGGCAGCAATTATTATGGTTTCCTGTGGAAATGAACTGCTTTGAAGAACAGGATTTCCTGTTAACTACCATTAATATTTTATACTTTATTTTGTACTTATGTCTATTTCCTTCTGAAGTTCACAATTATGGTGTTAAAATACTATGGAAACTTTAATATCAATACAAGCAAACATGTTTGTAAAGTCTTATCCAAAGGCCGCCTACACAATAAACTGCAAGGAACTCAATTTATCAAATTATGAAGAATGAAGGTTAAGTTGACCCTGTCAGTATTTTAACATGTGGTTTCAGCAGGTCTAGATATTTCAGACCTAATGATCAAGACCCATTAAGCCTGCTCTTTCAGACTGCTGACTAGGAAATTCAAATAATTATTTTTAGTATCAGCCATGAAAGTGGAATCTATTTACAACAACATTTATTCTTAGAGAACCAACCTGTTAAAGACATCTCGAACAGCTTGCTCACTTGCTCCAATATATTTACTGAGGAGCTCTGGTCCCTGTAAAATAACAAAATGAGAAGACTCAGGAGTTGTGTTTTTTCTTAATTCCATATCACTGTGGAATCTACTAGCAAGGTGGGTTATTTATGCAAGCACTAGAGAATTTGAAAGTAACAGGCAAGCAGTGGTTCCCAGGTGATTCAAAAAACTAGATAAACTGTGCCAGGTATTGCTAATTTCATTGGCTCTCAGTTTTCCTGCTATAAAGGGAAATGTGTTACAGTATCACAAGTCTGGGGATTGTGTTCTGAAGATACATTTAAACTATTCTGGCTAGCTGCATTACCCACTGAGTTAGAATCCTTTTATAAAGAAGAAGAAATTAAGAATACATAACAACATTTTCTAAAATATACTTAGTGATTAATTACAAACAAACTCTCAGAGATAACATTGTGTGGCCACAGCATGAAGTCACTCAGTGGTGCTTAGATAGCCAGGGCCAGATCCATAAAGGTACTTAGACATCTAAGTCTTGGGTTTAGGTGCCTAAATCCCAGTTTTGGCTCCACTGCAATTCACAAATCTCCTGCCAAACCCACTCAGTGCCTAAACTTTCAGGATAAAAGTTCCCTCTGTGCCTATGTTTCTGCCTCTGGTGTCCAGATACCTGTCTCCCACTTAAGCCTCAGACTGAGGGCATGTCTACACTTACCTCCGGCGTGATCGATCCAGCAGGGGCTGATTTATCGCGTCCAGTGAAGACGTGATAAATCGACCGCTGAGGGCTCTCCCATCGACTCCGGTACTCCACCGGAGCGAGAAGCGTAGGCGGAGTCGACGGGGGAGTGTCAACAATCGACCTACCGCAGTGAAGACACCGCGGTAAGTAGCTCTAAGTACGTCGACTTCAGCTACATTTTTTTCATAGCTGAAGTTGCGTAACTTAGACCGACTTAGCTCGCCCCTCCCCCAGTGTAGACCAGGCTTGATTCTGGGGAAAGATAGAAATAGGCATTTGCCTCCCTATCTTGTGTGCAGGGCTCAACCCGGTAGGTGGCTGCTGAGCAAGCCTACTGGATTGGCCCCCATTCAAAATTGCCCTGGCAGTGCCCACCTTATAACTTTTAGCCCAGTGGTTAGAGCACTCACCTGAGATGAGAGAGCCAGGTTCAATATTCCCCTCTCATGGAGGGAGAAGGATTTGAAGAGGGGTCTCCCACCTCCCAGGAGACTGCTCTAGCCACTGAGCTATGGGATATTCTGATGTGGGGGCGGGGGGAAGTCCCTTCAGTCTCTCCTATTGAACCTATTCCACTGTGGATAAATAACAAAAGAGTGATTCGAGCGGGGGACTGGACCCTGGGTCTCCCACATCCCAGGCAGGTGCCCTAACCTCTAGACTAGAGCATCATTCATTCACACACACACACACACACACACACACACACACACTCTCTCTCTCT